GATATGACGCGCGCGATCGGGCCCGAACATCGCCGAAGCGGGCGTAGCGCTAGGGTTGCGCGGCCGAATCGGGCCCGCCGTAGGGGGCGAACATCGCGCCTTCGACCCCCGATCATACCCCCAAGCTGCGCTGCTCGCGCGACGTGTTCCATACAAAACCTGCCAAGAATCATCTGCTCTATCGCGCCCCAGCCTTTGTTTCTGCATTTCTCGGCTTGCGTTGCTGCACTTGGGGTCATCTTAGGGTTTCTTAGGGTTAACTCGCCAAGCATGGAGCTCTGCTGGACCGCGCAGCCACCCGCAACGCCAACCGCAGCGCAGCACCGCAAGCGACCGCGCGCGAGCAAGATCACAATCGACAACGTGCAAGAGCGCTTCTGCTACCTCCAGCGCTATCAGGTGCTAGTCTGCAGGAGCACGCTACCGGCATACAGAACGTCGATGTGCACCTGCGCGACCAGCACGGCGTGGCGAGCAAGGAGAGGGAATGCCATCGTAGGAGCACTGCCGGCAATGGCGGATCGCCGCGCCGCGAGACTGTCGAGCTGCCCGCGCCGCTGGGGCCGCCGATCGAGCAGCTGGGCGAGCCGCTTGGACGTCTATCGATGCAGGATCACCAGCGACTGCGGCTTCTGCACCGCGAGCAAGAGCAGGATGCAGAAGCACTGCAACAGCGCGCACCAGACGGCTTGGAGCAGCAGAGACGCTGCGCTCTGCGAGAAGGTCAAGGCGCAAACGTTCTTCCGAGCCTGGCGGGCTCCAGCGATACTTCGTCGTCAAGGCAGCGGAGGACGATCGCGCGCCGTCCGACCCCCACGCGACGACAGACGTCGTCAGGGAGCGGCTAGCGGAGTGGAAGCTGACCAAGCACGCACACGAAGAGGAGGCGCAGGTCATGGGCGCTAGCGTCGCAAAGACAGACAAGACCGGCTGGTTCAAGCGGACAGGCTGGCTGGAGCACTTTGCTGACCGCAATCTGATGCATCTCGCGCACCAGACCCGGCTGCCCGATCGAGGCGAGGAGAAGCTGCGGGGGGCAGCGAAGCTAACGGAGCTGCTGGTGGAGAGAAGCGTCAAGGGGCTGTCGACGCTTGCGCGAGAGACGAGGCGGTGGCTGAGAAGCGCGAAGCGACAGGAGATCGATCAGCGGCCCATGGCGCGATTGCAGAACCCGGAGAGCCAGGCCCGCTACGCTGGCTACATGGTCAAATTCGTCTGCTACGCTCTGCGCCTCGTGGCTGACGCAGAGGCAAGGTTGGCAGCGCAAGAAGGCAGCAACAAGGGCAGCGACGACGACGATGAGCGCGACGATGACGAGGGCGACGAGGATGGCCGGGAAGAGGAAGAAGAAGAAGAGGAGGAGGGGGAGGAGGAGGAGGACGATTCCGACTTCTCCGACGCTGAGGGCAGCCGACCAGGCGAACATTCCAAGCAGCGGCCGAAGAGAGAAGGACCTGATGAAGGACGCGCGAGAGCTGTTCGGCTGGACAGTTGAGCAGAAGGAGCTCGTGGTAGCACTGTGGGAGATGTTGGATTGCGATGCTGACGCCGACTACGAAGCGCAGCGCGACGCTCAGCTCGAAGCGCTGCTGAACTTGCTCACATCGTTCTTCTTCACGACAACAGGCGACAAGCCGTTCAGCAGCGGACTCATTCACTTTCTTGCTGTAATGGGTATCGACGGCGACGCGAAACCGCTTGCGCACGGCGAAGAACTACTCGTACATGCTAGCAGGCGTAGTCTACTGCATGCGCGTGCTTAGCGTGGAGAAGCTGCTCCCGTCCGCGCGCCGCGACGAGCAAACCGAGGAAGATCGCTGAGCGCTTCTTGGAGCACAGAGAGAAGTATCTGTCAGGACGGCTCGTACAGCCCGATGAGCGAGGCGCTCAGCCTGCTGGCTTACGGCAAGTACGTCGCGCTGGCGGCCGGCAATTCAGGCAGCGCGTACTGGTCAAAGGACAAGAAGATCTTCTACTTGCACGGCCGGCGGATCTACATCAGCCGCTTCTGCAAGATGGCGCAGGACATGGTTTCTGAAGCAGAGCAGATGCTGTGGGAGGAGCTGTTCTGGGTGACGAGGGCGGAAGAGCGGTTTGCCGTCAAGCTGGACGCGCTCGTCGACGACGTCACGTTCGAGCGGCGGGGCGTGTCTTTTGTGCAGCACCGCGACAACGGTCTCAAGGACAAGCTGGAGTGGATGCTGACGCGGGCCGAGCAGACAGAGCAGGGCCGCAGGCTGCAGTCGAGCGACGGGCAGTGGAACGTGAAGCAGGTCAAGCGATACTTGCGTTGCGTGGACCGCTTCTTGATGCTGCTGATGGTCTGCGTGCACGTGACGTCCGGTCAGCCAGGCCGAGGGTCGGAGATCACGACGATGCGCCACCGCAACGGGCTGCTGCAGGACCGCAACATCTTCGTCATGGACGGGCAGGTGATGACGGTCGTCCGCTACCACAAGTCGCAGTCGCAGTGGGACAAGCCGAAGGTGGTGCCGCGCTTCTTGCCGCCGCGGCTGGGGCAGGTGATGGTGCTGTACCTGGCGTACCTGCAGCCGTTCCGCGAGTATCTCGCCGTGCAGGTGCTCGGCGGCAGCTTCAGCGACTACGTGTGGGCGGACGAGCAGGGCCCGTGGGGGACCGATCGACTGACGCGAGCGCTGAGGCGAGAGACCGGCACGAGGCTGGGCGTGCCGCTGCACACGCTCGACTACCGGCACGCGGCTGTCGGCATCGGTCGAGTCGTCGTAGGCGAGCGGTTCAGCAGGGGCTATCAAGACGAAGTCGGCGAGGTGGATGAGGCCGAGGTGGACGAAGACGGGGAAGACGTGATGGAGCTCCAGAACGCAAGGACGACGGTGATGGGCGTGGGCAACTACAGCGTGCCGATTGACATCGTCAAGCACCTCAGCGTGCGCTCGATCGAAGCGTTTCGGCCGCTCAGCGCGATGTGGCACCGCTTCTTGGGGCTGGACGAGAGGCAGGCAGCGGTGCAGGGGACTCGGACGAGCGACGTCCATCCGATCAGAAGGGCGAAGAAACGAGCGCGCAGCGGCAGCAGCCGCAATAGCGACGGCGACGGCGAAGGCGACGGCGAAGACAAAGGCCGTGACAGCCAGGGCCGAGGAGCCGCGTTGATGCAGAGAGGCGGGAGGGAAAAGGCAGTCCGCAGGGCCATGCAGCAAGTGCTTGGTCAGCAGGACGTTGGGTTTCGATCTGCAGAGCAGGAGCTGGCGCTGCACGCAGTGCTCGATGGACAGACGCCGCTAGTCGTCGTGCTGCCGACCGGCGGAGGCAAGAGCCTGCTGTTCAGCGTGCCGGCTTGCATGGACGACGCTGGCGTGACGGTGGTCGTGGTGCCGTACCGAGCGCTCATCGAGGATCTAGTAGACCGGATGCAGAAGTGCGGCATCGACTGCGTGGAGTGGAAGCACGGCGAGAGCAGCCCGGCCGCTGTTGTTGTAGTCAGCGCAGACGCCGCGGGGGACACCACGAGCAACGGCAACTTCTTGGGGTACGCAAACATGCTCAGCGGGAAGGGCCTGCTGCGGCGAGTGGTGGTGGACGAGTGTCATCTCGTCATCACATCGAGCGACTGGCGGCCGAAGCTAGCGCTGCTGAAGAACCTCCGGCTGCTGCCGTGTCCGATCGTGCTGCTTACAGCGACGCTCCCGCCGGTGAGAGAGGGCGAGCTGGCAACGAGCATGCTGCTTCCGTGCGCAACGTACATCCGGGCGAGCACGGTCCGGCCAAACACGCAGTACCACGTGTCGTGGTGCGAGCGCGGCAAGGCTCAGGAGACGGCGCTCGCAATGTGTCGAAGGCAGCAGCAGCTGCTGCTCGACAGAGGAGAGAAGGGCGTAGTGTACTGTCGCAGCAAGCGGCAGTGCGAAGAGCTGGCCGAGGCGCTTGGGTGCGCGTGCTATCACGCCGGCGACGTGGAGCGAGCGGAGCGGCTGAAGCAGTGGTTGGTGGATGGAGGGTTGATCGTGGCTACGTCGGCGCTGGGCACGGGAGTCGACTTCCCGGGGATCGTGTACATCATGCACGTGGGGATGCCGTGGAGCATGATCGACTACGCGCAGGAGAGCGGGCGAGGCGGGCGAGCTGGCGAGAGGGTGGATGCAGTGGTGCTGGTGGAGAAGGGCGAGGTGGAGCGGACGATGAAGCAGAAGAGCGGCGACTTGGACGTGCAGGCCATGGGGGTGTTCCTCATCGGCAGCGGGTGTCGACGAGGGCTGATGAGCAGCTACCTGGACGGCAAGCGGGTGGAGTGCAGCGACGTCGAGGCGGCTGGATGCGACCGGTGCGGGGATGGGGCTCGCGTGTGGCTAGACGCGCAGCAGGAGACAAGCAGGGAATGGCAGCAGGTGCAGGACGTGTTTGACGAGGTCCGCGCAGGCTGCGTGGTGTGCTGGATGATTGGCGACAAGGAGGCGTGGCTGTGCCACCGGGCGATGCAGTGCACCGCATTTCCCGGCGTCAAGGGCGCGGAGCTGGATCGATTCCGACGAGGGATCGTTGACCAGGGTGGCAGCCACAGCTGCCGGCGATGCTGGGTGAGCCAGAAGTACTGTGCCACGGGCGAAGATGTTGGCAGGGCGTGCCAGTGGCCGAACGTGGTGGTGCCGCTGGCTCGCGTGGCCGCAGCAGAAGACGCGGGAGGCACCTTTCTGATCCGGCAGTGCGGCTATCGCGGCGAGCTGGGCGGCGACTGGACCGAGTACGCGCGGTGGCTTGGGAAGCGGCATCCGCGTCGCGTGTGGGGGGAGTATTTCAGCAACGCGTTTGTGGTTGCCATCCGTGTTGCGCTCTTCTGCCAGCGGTACAGGCAGTAGAGCTGCCAGTGCACGCAGAGCAGCGCACCTGGACGGCGAGGAAAGCACCAAGCTTGCTGTAGTAGACAAAGCAAGCTATGCAAGGACACAGGCAGAGAGAGCAGATAGAACAGTTGTTGATTATTACAGTAGCTGCATGTCTAGCGTACAGCCAGCGTCACCTTGACTACCTACTCTGGATCAGACACCTGCGCGCCAGCAGGCAAGCTGGTTGCGCTTCGCTCCAGATATGCTCCAACGCATTCGCCCTCCTCCATCATGCAAGCCGCAAGGAGACCAGCACACCTAGCTGCGCGGTCTCGACGACCTGTGGCGCGCCCGCTGGCTGATCTGCCGCAACCCGTGCCATCTCGTTCTGCACAAGGCGCTGAAGACCAAGCACTAGCTGAAAGTTGCGCGCTGCTGGCGACAGGTTAGCAGGCGCATTGCGCCGGACAACCGTGTCCCAGGCGCGTCCGGTGCAGTGGTAGGCGTTGAGTGCAGCCACGTTCCCGCTGACCATGGCGACAATCTGCGCGGGGGGCAAGCTGTTCAGCTGGTTCTGAGGAGGAGAGCGGCTGCCAAGAGGGAGGCCGAAGCTGTCGCCCTTGCCGATGTCGCGAGAGGCGACGACAGAGAGGCCTGCTCGCTCCGCCGCGTGAGCGGCCTGCTGCCTCGCGACCACCCAGAGTCGATCAGGGCTGAGCTGCGTGGTTGAGACGGCCGCCTTGGCTGGTCGAGGGCCTTGAGGGGTCATGGCGACGACGTGGGGCGCATTCATCATCAAGATCAAGCTGCCAGGAGCCTCGGTGTAGCGAGCGGCCGTGCGGAACTGCTCGGGGAGGGCGGCCTCTGCAGCTGGGGGCGGGGTGTCGATGAAGCGCGCGGACATGTTCGTGACGATGCGGCCGTTTGGGGCGAGGAGGCGGCGCATGCTGCGCAGCGTCTGCAGGCGCTGGTCAGGCGGAATGGTCGTGAGGACGTGGAGGGCGAAGATGCAGTTGTAGACCAGCGGCGCCCCAGGAAGCGCGCGGACGCGGTCGACGAGCGCGGCGTCGGTGATGTTGGCGCGCAGCCGGTGGACCTGCTGGGCCGCGGTGCCCTGAGGGTGCACAGTGAGGCCTTTGTCGTTGAGCGTGTGGGGAAAGTCGATGTCAAGCAGCTCCTGCACGGCGTCGACGCCAACGCAGACGCCGGCACCAACGGTCAACTTGGCTTGGGCGAGCAGGCGACCGCCAGCTGTGCCGAGCTCAAGCACGCTCTCGCCAGGCTTCAGCGCAGCCAGCTCGAGCGCAAGCACGCTGTCAGGTCGGTGCGCCAAGTCCGCAGCGTTGTAGCCGCCAGCCATGGGTCCAAAGGCCGAGCGGAGCTCGTTGGCGGTACGATAGTAGACCATGGCTACTGTTCCTTGCAGCTGCGTTAGCGGGCGCTGGAAAGCTTGTGGCTCAAGCTGGGGAAGACTTACGGTGGGTCAAGTGTGTAAGAGAGAGAGAGAACGAGAGAGAGAGGATGTAATGGTTGAGTTGCAGCTGTCGTGCTTGCGAGAAGGAGTAGGAGAGATGCAAGCTGAGCGCAGGTGAGTGGGAGGTTGATATAGAGCCTGCTGCGAGCCAGACGCGCTTTTACCAACAATGCCCGGAGACGCGCTCTCACCAACAATGCCCGCTGTTTGCTACAATGGAAGACAGCCAAAGGAATTCACAGAGAGCAAATCAGCGCTCACCGCGTGCGAGAAGCTGCGCGAGGTCACTCGGTCAGTGAAGTCGGCCTTGTGCCTGTTTGTTGCTCAGCCCGACAGCAGCACAGCACGCGCGTTGCCATGTGAAGTTCGCGCAATCACGCGCATTGCCAGGTGAAGTTCGCGCAACCACGTTGCAGCGAGTGAAGTTCACGCTGCGCTAGGCAGCAGAGTCGGTGAGTGTGCGGCGCGCTCTTACTATGCTGCCGAGCAGGCATAAGAAGAGCCCGACGCTCAACCCTCTGCGCTTCCTCTTCTCCATCGCTGCTCCACTGCTCTCGCACGCAACCTTTGCCAGCAACGCCAGCACAGCCATTGCGTCCCCCATCTACAACGCCATGTCGTCCTCTGCTGTGCGTATCCACTCCACACCGTGTTTCTCCTTTGCACTGACGCGCTCTGCAGGCTACCATCGCGATGCCGTCCGAGGCGAAGCTCCGCAACACGGGCGGCCCAGCGTTTACGCTTCGCGCGTTCGATAGCGCTGGCGGCAACTACACGATGCCTGAGCGCGGCGAAGCCTACGACATGCGCCAGTTCAGCGACAGCACCGCGTCTGTCGGCCACCTCTATCTCCACCCTGGCACGCGCCGCCCGCCCATTCCTCCCTACGCTGAGCTCCAGGCGTTCGCTGCAGCCAACCCCAGCATGCCCATCGTCGTCGACCACGACCGCAGCGACGGCAACCCGTGCGAGTATCCCCACATCGTCCTCGCCACGCTTGAGATCAACACCGACGTTGTCAAGACCAGCCGGCTGCTCCTCGACGCCAACAACGTCCCCACGATCCGGCTCTACACTGTGGCGGCAGATAACGCGTTCAGGGCGTTCGACCCCGCAACCCACCACAAGAACGGCAGGCAGTACGAGGGCATCGACATCCTTGACTGGGGCATGGTCAACTTTGACGAGGAGTACCAGGCCAACACGCTGGTGGGCACCTTCCGCAAGATCTTCACCGACCTGAACTGGTAGGCCCTAGCAGCGGACGGCAGGCAGCTCGGGTGGAAGTCAGGCAGCTTGGGCAGAAGTCGGGTTATCATCAAGTAGTTCTTCCAAATCAAAGCTTCTCCCCTGTCTTTGCCGTGCCCTTGCGATTGCGTCTTCCATCACGTGCGTTGTCTTGTTGGGGTTAGCGCGGACTTGCGTCCGGTCCCGGACTCAGCTCTCTCCTCCCCACCACCACACTGGCCGCCCGCCCTTTCCTCGTCTCGCTCTCTCGCTGCGCCTGCTGCCAGATCATGTCGTCGTTTCAGCCAACCAACACTCCGTCGCCTTCGTGGGTGGCAGCCTTGGAGGGCGCTGCCGCCGCGTTCCACGGTGGCCCTCGCAGCTTCCCACCCTCGTGCGACCGCGACATGGCCGCCAACTACGCGTACGAGCCGCCAAACAGGGACTACGAGCGCCTGTTCTCTCGCGAGGCCCGAGTCCACCAGTGCCACAGCCGCGACAGCGCGTTGCCCCGCAGCGCAGGGTGGCTGGTCCCCAGCCAAGAGAGCGTGTGCAGGCCGGTGCTGGTTGCGCACTCGATGCTTGCAGCCATCTGGCTTATCAGGGAGACTCTTCCCGACGACGCGCTGCCTGCGGGCGCGTGGCAGCAGCTGGCGGCCGCTGCGCAGGCCTGCGCTGACGACGCGCTCCCTCCGCCTTCTGCACAGAGATCGCCAACGTCCCTATCGCTGCTGCACGACAAGCGAAGCGCCACCCACAACGCCTCGCTGTCGCCCGCGCACGCAAAGCGCCTGCGTCGCAGCGCCCCTGCAGCCGCCGCTGAACCGCCGCCGTCGCGCCTGACGCCCCCTCGCGCGAGCTCGCCATCTCCGCAGCCCGACCCGAGCCAGCGCTCGGAGCTGGCAGCCACACCGCAGCTGACCGCGACGCCAACAGCCAACGGGCCTGCCGCCATCACCACCATCACCAACAACAATCGTCGCGCAGAGCGGGCGCGCGCACAGCGTCGGGAAAAGGCACAAGCAAGACTGCGACTCGAAGCAGGGCTAGCAGCGCCAACGCCAGACGCTCCGCGGAGAGAGCAGGGCGCATACCAGTCGATTGAGCTCTCAGACGAGGCGCACGTGTCGTGGCTCTTCAAGCAGCCCGTCGACGGGGACGTGGACCTGTTCAGCAGCGCGGCAACGCCCTACACTCTGGCTGCAACCATGATCAAGAACGCGCGCTCCATCGGCAACGCTTCGTCCCAGAGCTCAGCGGCTGCCTTCCTGCGAGGCTGGCGCGCGCAGGGAACGCCCTTTGCGCAGGACCTCACAGACACCCACCCCACCTCGTCCTCTATCCGCGCTTCCACCAGTTCCACCAGCAACGCGCTCGCAGCTGCCTGGACACTATGTGAGCGCTACGAGCAGGAGCTAGACGTCATCCACATCAAGTACCGCTGGGCTATGGCCTTCCTCGGCAAGACATACACCGACAAGATGGAGGAGATCCGCAGCAAGGAGCGCGTTGGACCAACAGAGGGCGCTAGGAGGGGCCGGGCCGGCAAGGGCAAGGTCAGCTCAGAGGCCATCAACGAGCTGCTCTCCTCCGTCCCTGCAGCGCCTGACCCACGGCACCGGCAGCGGTTCAAGCGGCGCCTGCACCAGGCTCTGCGTTGGTACGAGGCGGCTAGCCGCCTTGGCTGGGGCATGCTCTGCCTCCTGCCGCACGACACCATCTCAAACTCGTGGGTGGAGAACGACCTCCGCATTCCCTACTGGCACATCTGGCTAGAGCTGGTTGGTAGGGTGAACCCTGCCGCCTACGAAGCGAGCCGACAGCTCCAGACATGGCTGGGCTCAGAAGCTCTCTCTGGCGGTCCTATCAGTGAGAAGGAGACGCTGTACATTGAGGCTACGTCCAGCAGGCTGCCGCTAGCTACATCTACGCAAATCACAGAGGTAGCTGACAGCGATGTAGGCAGTGACGACGAGAGCGACAGCGCTGCTGTGCCTACGCAGAGGCAGCCTATGCGCCAGCGCACCCTGCTAGAGCTCTTTAAGCCGCAGCTACAAGGCTACACTATAGAACCCTAATAGGCTATCTAGAACAATAGATAGTAGAGTTAGATTTCTAGTAGTTCTATAGAATATCCTCTATACATATTATATTAAGATATTCCTATAAGTAATCTATAATAAGCTAGCATAACTTATATACTCTAGGTAAGAGCTATAAGTCTAGAGCCTAAATCTAACTTTATTTCTATAGTAGATACTTGATAGATTTATAATAGATTATAGATATAAGTAGCTTATTTTAAAGAGCTTACTTGGCTCTCTATATTTATATACTAATATCTAGCTAGAGTTTTTTAGTTATAGTAACCTAGAGAGAAACTTTAAACTCTTAACTATAAAAAGTAAAAGAGACTATAAATTAAATAACTAATAAATTGTAAGGTTACTGTAGGCAGGTAATTAAACACAGGTTTGATAGGTGCTAGTAAGAGTAGAATTAGGTACTGTTTGATATATTATAAGACAAATCCTTAAGGTACAAGCCTTTAGAATTCAGAGCGTATACATAGAAGGGATCTGTGCGCCCTGCTCTGGCCTAGGGTATACCTTGCTAAGCCCTACAGCGTTCTCTAGAGGAACCCTTGTAATATAAATAATATAATTATTAACTTTTAACCTTGTAAAACTATAGATTCAAAAAGAATCTATAGTTTTTTATTAAAGTTATGCTTTATACAAAGCTTATAGTTAAGTACTATTTAATTAGGCTTAAAAGATAAATATAGTTTAAGAAATTAAAAGAAAAGTTATACTAAAAAGTATAGATATAATCTATATATCTTAAGTGTAAAAGTAATAAGAGGTAGTATTAAGTGGACTATTTTGCTTAAAGATAAACTTAAAATCTAGAATTATGGACTCATACCTAGTAGAGACATAACCTTAATAGATTAAATTTAATTTAACTATTTACTTAAGTAAATAAAGTATTCTTTACTTATTCTATTATTTTACTTTTATTCTAATTCTAGAACATTTAGAATATTATAGTACTTTTTAAAATAGTATATAACTTACTCTATAGTAATATTCTAGTTAGGCTTTAGAGTATAATAGGTTATGTTATTATTAGCACTTTAATACTAACTTTTTTAAAGACTGTTAGTTATTTTTAAGTAATATTAATTTCTTTTCTTTTATTGTTTATTATATCTCTTCTAAGGTTTATAATTTTTTTAATAAATATAATACTATAAATAGAACCTAATATTTTTTAATTATAAAGAGTACTAGCTACTACTACTACTACTACTACTACTACTACTATAACCTATAGTAGTAGTACTTTTAACTATAATTATACTAAGTAATATTTAGAGCTATTTTCTAGTTCTAAAAAGATACTATATACTTATATCTAGCTAGTATATAGTAAAGATAAAATTGTAAAAAAATACTTGGTAACATATAATATCTCTATAGAACCTGGAGAGCTAAGTTTATTATACTAGCTATATAGTTAAGTATATCTACTAAATGCTATACTTTATAGCTAGTATTTTTATCTCTATACTAGCTATATAGTAAAGTAATACTTATAGTAGTAACTAACAGTAATAATTATAGATAAAAGCTATTTAGTAGAAAATATAAGTATTAGTAGCTTATAGTAGAGTAAAGAAGTTTATTTAAGAATTATAGTAAGGTATAGCTTTAAGTACTACTAATTCTACCTATTTTATATACTAAGATAATAATTAGTAATACTCTACTTAGGTATAAGCTTAAATACTACTTTACTATACTAGTAATTACTAGCTAGATAAAGTAGCTAAATATAAAAAAAACTACTTATATATACTAGTTAGTATAGTATACTATATATTAATTATATATATAGAAAAGCTACTCTTTTTTTATATTCTATAATAGGTAACTAGATAGAAATAGTAGTAGTATTACTAGCGTAGAGAGTAGCACTACTCTAATAGCTTATATAGTCTTAAAAAATAAAAATTTTAGCTTATTAAATTAAATAAAGTACAGTTAATATATAGGTAGATAGCTCTAATAGTATAAAGTAGTTAATAAATTTAATTACTTTCTATTTTTTTAAGTAACTAATCTATACTAACTACTTTTATAAAATAGAATAGAACATAGTAGTAGAAATAGAGTAGCTACTCTAAATAATAAAGATATAACTCTAGTCTACTATTTAACTAGTAAAGTATATTCTTTATATACTACTTAAGTAATAAGCTAGTAAATAAAATATAGCTAGGTAGTTAGTATAAGAATCTAGAATAGACTAGAGAGTTAAAAGTTATAATAGTCTAGTGCTATAGAGGCCTACCTTAAAGCTATAATATCTTTATAATAGAGAGATAAGTAATACTTTAGAATACTAGTATAAGTTTTAATAATAGTAGAAGAAATTTAAAAAAGTATTCTACTTTTACTACTATAGCTAGGCTAGGTAAAAGCAATATATCTAGCTTATCTAGAGTAGTAAAAAGTATATTACTATATTAGAACTTAGTAGTAGCTTTATAGACTACTATAACTAGATTAATAGAGTATATTAAAAATAAACTAGATTGTCTAGGCTCCAGCTTATAGAAAGTACTAGAAACTATTTATAATATAGTATAGCTAACTATCTATTACTTTCTACTAAAATTTAAGTTATACTTTAAAAGCTTAGTCTATAGAGACTATTTTATAAAGAATAATAATATTAAACCTATTTTAAACTAGTTTTTACTTTAATATATATCTACAAATATATACTAAAACTTTAGTTAAAGAATAAACTATAATTATAGTAGTGCTAGAAAGCTTTACAAAGTTTAAAGAGCAAGAATTTATAGAATATTATATTTAGTAGATCTATAAAGCTTTCTAGTTATAAAGTAAGAGTAAAATACTATAGTATCTAGAGTATAGTTCTAAAACTAGTAGAAATTACTTAGTAAATAGAATAATATTATTTTCTTTATAAACAGATATAGTATAATAGTATATAAATAGAACTAAGTGATAGATATTATTAATTATAGTATTAATTCTTATAGAATAATAATATAACTATAATAACTTATAGCTAGGCTATTAAATAATTTTATTAGGTTAATAAAATTAGAATAAATTAAACCTAATATCTTAGTATAGTTAGAGAGAAAGAAAGTAAATTAGCTAACGTACCTCACGGGCTAATAGATCACACGGGTCAATGGATCACTTTTGCCAAGACCACACCAAAACACCATCACTATCTAAATGCCCCCCCACCAACCTTAATTAGACGCGTTAAAAGAACGTCAGATACAGCTTGCGCTTTAGGCTATCAAACAAGCCGCGAAAATCTCACAGCGACGCGCTGCAGCTATCTACAACGTGCCCCAAAGTACCCTAAGCCAGCGATGCGCTGGACAGTCCTCACGAGCTGATTCTATGGCTAATCGACAGAATCTGAACAAGTATGAGGAGGAGGCGATTGTTGATTACGTTCTTAACCTCATTGACCGAGGAAGTCCTCCCCGCCTCTCAGATGTGGCTGCAATGGCCAATTTGCTGCGAGAAGAGCGTGGAATGCCCTATGTTGGGCAGAACTGGCCTAAAACGTTCGTTAACTGTTAACCAAGGCTCAGAGTGAGGTTTAGTCGCAAGTATGACTATAAGAGAGCCCTCTGTGAGGATTTAGAGGTTATATAGGCCTGGTTCGACCTAGTAGCTAATACTAAAGCCAAGTATGGTATACTAGACGACGACACGTACAACTTTGACGAGACTGGCTTCATGATGGGCCAGATAACCCCTGGAGCAGTTGTCATAGATGCAGAGAAGCTAGGACGAGCTAAGCAAGTCTAGCCGGGCAACCGAGAGTGGGCAACAGTCATCCAGGGCATTAATGCCACAGGGTGGGCTATTCTAGCCTTTATCATCTTCAAGGCACGCAACCACCTGTCAAGCTGGACTAAGGATTAAACTCTGCTGCTAGACTGGGTTATTGGAGTCTCTGAAAACGGCTGGACTACAAATTAGCTTAGTTCCAACTGGCTAAGGCACTTTGATGCGCATACAAAGAAGCGCACTGTAGGGACCTACTGTCTGCTTATAGTAGACGGCCACGAGAGCCACCTATCACTGGATTTCTACTAATACTGCAAGGCCAACCAGATTATATCTCTATGTATGCCTGCTCACTCATTGCACCTCCTCTAGCCTCTTGATGTGGGTTGTTTTGGCCCTTTGAAGCAGGCGTATGGGCGCCAAGCCAAAGGGCTTATGCGCAACCAGATCAACTACATTACAAAGCATGAGTTCCTGCCATGCTTCAAAGAGGCCTACAATAAAGCTATTACCTCTAGCAACATCCAAGGAGGATTCCGAGGGGCTGGACTAGTCCCTTTTGACCCACAACGGGTCATTTCAACCCTTAATGTGAAGCTGCGGACTCCATCACCCCAACTACCCACCAACAACGAGCTGTGGCAATCCCAAACCCCCAAAAACCTAATTGAATTTGAGTCGCAATCGACTCTAATTCGAGACAAGTATAAGAGGCAGCAGGGCAGCTCACCAAATTCTGTTTATAGCGCGCTTGAGCACTATGCAAAGGGGGGAGCAAAGGTAGCGCACGAGCTGGCTTTGCTTAAGAAAGAGCGCACTGAGCTTCAGGCAGCTCTAGCAGCTGCAACAGAACGCAAATCACATAAAAGAAGGCGGATTCAGCAGGAAGGGACCCTTACAATTAAGGAATCCCAGCGTGTAGCTACCCTAAAGGAGTTCGGCGCTCATGGTGATGGTAAGAAGCCAAAGAAGAGGGTGCGCGCTGAAGGAGGCGAACCATCCCAACGACGGTGTAGAACGTGCGGAGAGACAGGGCACAACGCGCGAACGTGCAAGAATAATGCAGATGTAGTCTCTGAGTAATAACACAGGTTGTTTTACCTTATACTGGCCCATAGTGGGCGGATGCGGGCCAAAGTAGGGTGTGATGGGGGAGGGTCTTGGCAAAAGTGATCCATTGACCCGTGTGATCCATTAGCCCGTGAGGTACGTTAGATTTAATTGCTTTAATTGCCAAGTTAATCCTGTCTTTATGAGAAAGTGATGCAATTTTTAGTTGTTGAAACATAGTTGTTAAAAGTTGAGATGGTTAGAAGCTTGGTGAGGGTGGCAACTCGCTTGCCCTGGCAGCTCGCTTGCCGATGACGTTAACAGGACTGCACTGCCATTTTACGCGTCACTAGCGCCGATGAAAAAGGCTCATCGAGGGGCATAGCACCGAAAGTGTCATGGAATACACCATCAAAGCCGAGGGACCTGTTCGGTATACTGTCGTCGCTATTCCTATCTTGTGAATAAGTGATGCGCTACGATGCATAGACAAATCCTAGAAGAACACGGCGAATTACTGATCAAATATCGGCTCGATTACTAGATGAAAGAGACCTTGGACTTTTCCTTTTCTTCGATCACTTGGCAAGGAGATTAGAAGCACCAGTCGAGGTAGATCCCATAAGAGATTGCAGTTGCGTGACCACATAGGCGACAATGCTGTTATTGTGTCTTTAGAATTCTCCTCATACAAGACGCTAATGCAGACAGCTGACAACTAAGCAACTCGAGAGAAAGCGCCAAGACACGAAAGCCGCTAACGCAAAGAGCTGACAGCTAAGCAATATAGCGTGTAAGAGCCTCAACGACCAATCAATCTTTGCAAAGCAAATGAATTAATTCAAGATGTACGGCAATGGTGCACACCAGACATGGACTAGGAATTCAACGAGAGTGATCTGCATTAGTAACCCTGCCGTGCAGTGCGGTGAGTGTTCGCGGGCCCACCAATATTGCTAACAGGCCCACAGCTTAGCGTGGCTGCGCCCACCCGGCTTTCCATTGGCTGATCAATTTGTTCGATCCGAGAGGGTACGCGGTGCATTGACCTCTTGTTCTCGATAAACCAGGCATTAATGTAGTAAGTTAATCCGTCGCCTTCAGGGAATCAAGTAGGCGTGGTGCATTGGTTTGCGCTTATTTCTAGCGCAGATGCCAATGACTATAGGAATCAGTTAAGAAAAGCTTTGCAATAGACTCTTTTAGACGTTGCGTCATTATTTGGTAGTATGGTAATTCCATTGTGGTACAAAACATGCCGTTAGCGGCATGAGGATTGTTATTTCCATACTTTCTTGCCTTTCCATGCTGCTTAATGACGAGACAACCAAGTTTCATGGCAGTACCTAGCCTGCGATATCACACTCGCTAATGCTCAAGCAAAGCTCTCGTTGCAACCGCAACAGGAGTTCGGGAACTAATTTGACCCTTGCTCCTGACGAGCGACCCTTGCAGCATATTCCAACCCCTCGACGACTTTGTCAGGCATACTGAGGAAAGGAGAATGAGAAGCACTACAAGTAAATTCGAATGCATCAGTCCCCAGAGATGCAGCGAATGCCTTTTGTGTCGCAATTGGTATCGTACGGTCTTGTTCGCAAAAGAAGTACAAACAAGGCATGTCTTGCCATGGCTCGTAAAGAGCCTCAGTATGGTATGCAATTGCTGATGTATGTTTGAGCTGAGATATGGCTTGTTTCAAGTCCTTTTCGCCCACGTCGTGGTAGAAGAGCTCCACAGGGTTTTGGGGAATGCAGTTATTGCCCTAGCATGCCGGTTAGCACGAAGTACCGGAAGACATGACGCTTCTAGGTGTTTACATTGATCCAAGATGGGAGTTGGCCACCAAACATGTCAGCCATACCCTTTCCTTTTGGTACCACAAAGGCGGCAAGGTAGACGAGCATGATAACACCTCCCTTCCTGCCTACTTTGGCCTGATGCTCTTTTGCAAGGCCCTCCGTAGCGTTAGCTGCTACAAGTCCGCCGTAGGAGTGAGCAACGAGCACGATCTCCCTCCCTTGATTTATCAACTGCTCCAATGTTGTCCGCACGCTTGCGACATCATCGATAAGAGTTTTGTTTGGAGGCTCGGCGCCATAGGAGGGATAGGAGACACTCTCTGTTGACCAGCCACGTGCGTGCAGTCTTTCAACAACAGGATAGAAGCATTCTGATGAATGCCATGCTCCAGGTGCAAAAACAATTGTTGGCCTTAAAGTTTCCATGTTATCAAGGATAAGGAGTTTAAATGTGTTTCACCTGTTGAGGTATGAAGTGTTGAAGAATGTGAAAAACCGGAGCAAGATGCCATCACCTATACAAGTACAGAACCTGTGAGCAGCCTCGGCCGAAGCACAATGTGAGCTTTGGTCCGTTCGATTACTGAACAAAACACTAGCGAGTGTGCAATCGTCAAGTTGACTTTCGCCTGATTGTTACCACAGCCCAATGATGCGTGGAAAGGAATATTACCGGTAGAGGCCCGAACAGGCACAGCAATGCGCCGTAAGAAAGCGGGCTGCACAACTACTTCCTTGAATGTTACGGCGCACATGATAGCCCTATAAGGGTCGAACGACCAGAGCGATGCGTCTTACGAAAGCGGGGGTGCATACGTACCTCTTGGGCCCCAGACCTTGCATGAGACGCTCCGAGGCAATGCCACATGTTGGATTATTAACCCTCTCAAGTGTTTGCAGTTTACGACCAAAGCTTGGCCTCGGTGACAAATTCCGTGTCAGATGTTACACTCGTTCTGACCGCTCTGTATTCCGTTTTCAACTGGGAAATACTCGTAGCCGCTTCTCTCTCAGGGACAAAAGTATTCGATATTGTCGCGCACACCAAATGCGTGCCTATAAACTGCATTCAACCACTCGATAACCCTGGTAGGCCAGACGCGGTATGTCCAGATTTCATTGCTTCAACGCCACATCAACGAGACTCAGAAAATTGCCCAGCTCTAGAACGCGATCACTACTGCCTTCGCAGCAGCAGTTGATCAACATGCTGAGAGCTACACGAACCCGCAAGAGGCAAAGATCGCAGAGGAGCTACAGCAAAGGGTCATCCAGGCTCTGACTGCCCCCCTCTCCCCCGGCGTCACCCCCCCAAGCTCCTGCTAGAGCAGCGACACCGCGCACAGCGACCAGAGGAGCTAAGAGTCTAGGCGCTGCTCCTGGGCGGAGGTGGCTAAAGACCCCTAAATCTCAAAGACGGGCCGCAACTAACCTATGCCCCCTGCTAGGGCTCTACACCACCCGCTAGCTAAGCTAAAAGAAGATTACTAAATTTTTATAGCGGTAACGTACCCCACGGGCGAGTCGGACAACAGGCGAGTCGGACACTTTTGCTAAGCCCCCACCAAACACCTTCTCCTACACTAATGTCTTCTCAACAACACTATTTAGACGCGTTAAAAGAAGCGCAGATACAGCTTGCGCTCTAGGCTCTTAAACAAGACGTGACTCTATCTCTGCAACGCGCTGCTGCTATCTACAAGGTCCCTCAAAGCACACTAAGCGACTAGCGCACTAGATAACCTTTATATGCTAATTCTATAGCTAACTTATAGAAGCTAGATAGTAATAAGAAGGAAGTAATTATTAAGTATGTTCTTAAGCTAGATGCGCAAGGGTTTTCCTCTTAGCTCTTAGATATAGCTACTATAGCTAATTCTTTGCACGCTAAGTATAATCTAGGTCCTATTAGCATAAACTAGCCTAGTATATTTATTAAGCAACACCTAGAACTTAAAGTTAAGTTTAATTATAAGTATAACTATAAGAGAGCTCTCTATAAGGATCCTAAGGTTCTATAGGGCTAGTTTAGCCTAGTAGCTAATACTAAAGCTAAGTATAGCATCTAGGATAAAGATATATATAACTTTAACAAGATAGGCTTTATAATAGGCTAGATCTCCCTAGAAGCAGTTATTATAGCTTTAGAATAATAAGGTTAGCTAAAAGCTATCTAGCTAGGTAACTAGGAGTAGGCTATAGCTATAGTAGGTATTAATACTAAAGGATAGGCTATTCCTGCCTTCCTTATCTTTAAGGCCTACTACTACCTCTCTGCCTAGTATAAGGAGGAAGAACTGCCTTAAGACTAGGTTATTAGAGTCTCTAATAATAGCTAGACTACTAATAAGCTTAGTATAGACTAGATAAACTACTTTAATAGGTATATAAAGGAGCGTACTATTAGCACCTACTATTTACTTATTATTAATAGTTATAAGAGCTATAACTCTCTTAAATTCTAGTAATACTATAAAGATAACAAGATTATTACTCTTTACTTGCCTTCTTACTTATTATACCTTATATAGCCTCTTAATATAGCTTGTTTTACTACTTTAAAGAAGGTATATAGGCACTAAGCTAAAATACTTATATGCAACTAGATTAACTATATTATAAAGATAGAGTTCCTACTATACTTTATACGCGCCTATAATGCTATAATTACTTCTAGCAACATTTAAGGAGGGTTCTAAGGCGCTAGACTAGTCCTATTTAATCTATAACAGGTTATAAGCAGCCTTAATATAAAGCTGCGCACGCTATTACTACTACTACCTATTAATAATAAGCTCTAGCAGTTATAAACCTTAAGTAATACCCTTAAACTTGGGTTATAATTAATGCTTATAAAGATAAGGATTTAGAGGTATATAGATAGCTTGCCTACCTCTATAGTTAAGATATTTAAGAAGGTAGTAAAGGGGGTAGTAATAATTGCATATAAGCTAGTATTAGTATAATAGGAGATTACTTAGCTTTAAGCTGCTAATAAGGTAGCTATATAATAAAAATTATATAAAAGAAAGTAGGTTAAGAAAGAAGGTACTCTAGTAGTTAAAGAGGGCTAGTAATTAATAGCTCTAAAAGAGTTTAGGGCGCGTAGTAATAGTAAGAAGGTAAAGAAGTAGGTGCGTGCTAAAGTAGGTAAGCCCTCCTAAAGGCGCTATAGACAGTATAATTAGATAGGATATGACGCGTAAATATATAAGAAAGAGATAAAAGTAGTTTCTAAATAGTATTATAGACTATACTATATATTATAGCACTAAACTAGGTTGTTTTATATTATAATAGGGTAGAGTTTAGTAGGGGCTTAGTAAAAGTATCTAACTTACCTATTATCTAACTCGCCTATAGGGTACGTTAGTAGCTTAGACTAATATATATTATAGGCAAGCGGCGTATATAGGCAAATAGTGCACTTTTACTAAGACTCTACTAAAATACTAATCTCTACTAATACCTTTATAATAATAATAGTTTAATGCATTTAAAGAATATTAGATATAGCTTATAATCTAAGCTCTTAAACAAGATCTAAAACTCTCCCTATAACACGCTGCAGCTATCTATAGCACCTTAGAAACAACACTCTATGCAAGACGCGCTAGACAACCTTTACGCGTTAATACTATAGCTAACTTATAGAATCTAACTAATACTAAGAAGTAGGTAATTATTATATATATACTTAAGCTAGCTAAGTAAGAATAACCCCCCTAGCTTATAGATATAACTAATATTGCTAATTCTCTATAGAAAGAGTATAGTTTAGCCTCTATTAGCTTAAACTAGGCTAGTATGTTCGTTTCGCGTTAGAAGGAGCTTAAAGTAGTGTTTAATTGCAAGTATAACTATAAGCAAGCCCTCTATAAGGATTCTAAGGTTATATAGGGCTAGTTTAACCTTATAGCTAATACTAAAGCTAAGTATAGCATCTAGGATAATAACATATACTACTTTAATAAGACAGGCTTTATAATAGGCTAGATAAGCTCTAGAGTAGTTATTATAGCTTTAGAGAACTGCAGATAAGCAAAGGTAGTCTAGCTAGGTAATTATAAGTAGGTAATAGTTATCTAGGGCATTAATGCTATAGGGTAGGCTATTCTGCCCTATATTATCTTTAAAGCCTGCTGCTACTAGTCTAACTAGTATAAAGATAATAACCTGCCCTAGGATTAGACTATTACTATCTCTAAGAACGGCTAGACTACTAATAAGCTTAGTTTTAACTAGTTAAGGTACTTTAATAGGTATATAAAGATATATACTATTAGTACCTACTATTTACTAATTATTAATAGCTATAAGAGCTATAACTCTATAGAATTTAAGCAATACTATAAGGATAACAAGATTATAAGTCTATACATGCCTACGTACTTATTATACCTCCTATAGCTACTTAATATAGCTTGTTTTAGCCCTCTAAAGAAGGTATATAGGGATAAGGTTAATTAGCTTATATATAACTAGATTAACTACATTATAAAGTAGAAGTTTCTCCTATGCTTTATAGCAGCTTATAATAGAGCTATTATCTCTAGTAATATTTAAGGAGGGTTCTAAGGGGCTAGATTAGCTCTATTTGCCCTAGATTGCGTTATATTAGCTCTAAATATAAAACTGCGCACCCTATTACTACTACTCCCCTAAATTAGCCTACTCTAGTAGTTGCAAACCCTAAGCAATACCCTAGAGTTTAGGTTGCAATTAATACTTATAAAGAAGAGAATTTAGAGGCATATAGACAGCTTACTAACCTCTATAGTTAAAGCTTTTAAGAAGGTCTTAAAGGGGGCAGTAATTATTACGCATAAGCTAGCTTTAATATAATAGAAGAACACTATACTTTACGCAGCTCTAGCAGCTGCTATAGAATATAAGTTGCGTAAAAGAAGGTATATCTAGATAGAAGGAAGCCTTATAGTTAAAGAGGGCTAGTAGTAGACTACTCTATTAGAGTTTAGCGCGCGTAGTAATAGAAAGAAGAGGAAGACGCAGGTGCGTGCTAAAGGATATAAACTATCCTAATAACGCTATAGATAGTGCAGAGAGGGTAGGCATAATATGCAAACGTGCAAGAATAGAGTAGAAGAGGTCCCTAAGTAATATTATAGCTTATTTTACCTTATATAGCGCTAAATTATAGTATTTTAGGCTATAATAGGGGTAGTTTTAGTAGAGTCTTAGTAAAAGTGCGCTATTTGCCTATATATGCTGCTTGCCTATAATATATATTATAAGATAATAGTAACTTCTATTCCTATCTCTATACTAGGTACTTAGCACCTAGAGCAGTACTACTATAGAGTTCTAGAGGTAAACTTACCTAAGTTTACTAGGCTAGTAGAGATAGAAGTTTATAATATCCTAGACCTACTAGCTATATAGGAGGCATTATAGCTTAATAAGTATATTAGGCTACTTATAGAGACTATAAAGCACGCGATATAGATAGTAAGTAGAGGCACCTACAAGAAAAGCTATACTATACTATAGTAGATAGAAGAGTATAAAATAGCCTATTAAGCTTATAAATAAGCGCAATAGCTCTACTCTAGCTATCTACTAGAAGAGAGATAGACCTTTAAGACTATAGTCTAATAGGCAAAGAGATAGTACTAAAGGTATATAATTAATAACGCTAAGAATAATAAAGACATATTTAAGATTATTACCTAGCATAAGCTCTTATTAGAGAAGAAAGACGCTCTGCTTATAATAAA